TGCATTATTGGCAAACAGCAATTGTCATAAAGTGGTCTAATAAATAAATAAATCTAACAGAACTGTACTCACTAGGACTTAATGTCAGTATTCAATTATTAAATTAATGATGTATAATACTTCTACAATTATAAAGTGCATAATAACATCTAATGGATTGCTTCATTTCATTTATTTCAAACTCTTCAGTATGTTTTGGTTCTTTTTTCTAACGCCATTAAAACGTGTTTACTGTAATGTTATTATAGTATCCCTTCAAGGTTATCAATATTAATTTCATGGTGTTGTTTAAGTATCCATTCGGAATTACCTGTAGGGCAATAATTTGAATTAGGTAAACGAAATTATATACTTAGTAATTGCTGATAAATCTCCAAGAAATCAATATTCATTTTGATTTTTTATCACCAACCTTACACCTTTCAAACAGTTACAAAACTAATGTTTATGTGTTGAGCAATACATTCACAACCGGGTCGAATAACAAAGATATACTGCAATCATTTGAAAATAGGTCGGGTTTAAGCTTTAATTAAATTTTGCGTTATTTAATAACCAAAGAAAAAGAAGAGAAATAAATTTTATAGAGAAAATATAATCCACTCATGTAAAGATTTTCTTATCTTTCGTTCTGTTACTAAGAAATACTTGATGCTGAATGCGGTGCATTTGCATGTTTTTTCTTCATACAATATGGGTAACTGAAACTTATCTGTATCCCAGATGCAATATCTTTTATCTAGAGTATAATATGATATTGTACGTCCAACATTTTACGTACGTTACAGAAGTGTTATTTTCAAATGACATTTTAAGATATGAATTGATGTAGAAACAGATGAATCACACAACTAACCAATATTCCTATCAATATAACATATATGTAAATTGGTCAGGGCTGTAATATCTATACACATAATCATAATGACTATCAGTTAAAAATTGAGAGCGAGATGGCATAATATTTAACTGATAAGTTTTATATGCTCAGATTACTATATTAACTTTCCCATAGACTTACATTATAAGACATGACCACTAAACCAACCATAATGCTAATGTGATTTTTCAAGAAGAATGACATGCCTGACACATTAAACTGGTCTTGATATAAGGTTGTCCGGCCAAATTTTTCACAAAATGTCCCCAAAGATTGTTACCCCCTGAAATTTTCTGCTGATCACAGGACAGACATATACTTTTTTAAAATGCAAATATCCAAGTGATAAATTATTTTAGACACTTACGAAACAGTTTGTTTTCTTAAGAAAACAATCCAGTATTAGTTTCTAAAATAATTTTCGTACTTATAAACATTAAATTTGCACCCACTCACCTGATGTCCCATTGATTTTTATGGTTTTCCCTGCTCTTTTTGCAGCCAATCACAGGCCATGTTACAATCAATTAATTGGACCATATAAAACGGTTTATATTAAGCGTTTTCAGACAATTATACTTTAAAGTAAGTTTTAATATTGAACATCCTCGCCTAATATTTAAGGTCGTTGACTTTAAATCACTTGCCACTCACCGCCGTAGGTTTGAATACAGTCAGGAATTGTGTATTTTTTATGTGAGGAAGCTATCTAACGCCTATGCTTGAAATAAAGCAAAGAAAAGGGCACCCGAGGTTTTCCTCCACCACTTTAGCTTGAAAGTCGTCACATGACAAATACTGTGTTAATGTGAAGTAAAAACTAACCAAAAAAGACAGCTTTGCATTTATAACTAGTTTTAATTCATTGAATAAAGCTAAAACATTAAAGTCATGAATACAAACTAGTAGTTAATCACAGTTCCATTCATCTTTACAGTTCATCGTCCAACTGCAATTTGATCTGAATCATTTTGTTGGAGTAAGAATCCAGAGAAAAAGTTGTAATGAAAACCATGGTAGGCGGCATCGTTGTTTTGGATGAAGATATCAATCTCCTTTCCTAAGCTCTAGCACTATTGTTTGGCTTGAAGTATCATATCCAGCTTCCGCTCCACTGACGTACATAAAGCTTACAGGACTTCCATTCTTCACTAATTGAGAATGAACACTTTTGTGGTAAATAGAAAATAGCGTCGCAGATAAAATGTAGGTTCCGGATACATGGGCAACAAAGTTTCTATTTAACATATTTAAGTTGTTGTAGCCATTGCCAACGTTGGTTCTACTCTGTCGAAAACAAATATCTGGCCAACTCCAGCGTATTCCATGTGGTTAGATAATGTGAAAGAAAGCTACGTTTTGCTCGTTTTCAACTCGTCTAAACCTTAAAGGTTTTTTATGTCTGAAATTTACAAAAAATGTATGAAGATGATTTGGATACATTTAAAGAACTGCAGATCAATATTTGCTTTAATTATACTTAATTTCGTTACAAACATCTGGAAACAATGTGATCCATCGGAAGCATGAATTACAACAAAATTACGTGAAAATTGCAAACTCGGTTTGATTGAGTCTGTACATGAGAGATAATGAACAAATGTTACATCCCTCACTCCCCTAAGCAACGGCCTGAGAGTTACTCAATTCTTAACACTTAATTGTGCTGGCACCAATGATAATTAAGTTTAACAATTAAATATTCGGATCACAATGCATTGGTCTGTTGCTGTTATTCATTTGTTATGAAACCATCCGTAATATAACTAAAGGTTGTAATTCCATTCGTCCGTTTTAATTGTAGCTTTTTTATAACTCTTGGTATACCACACCATCTTGAAGATTTTTCATACATTTTCTTGTCGCCCAATTAACACAATCTTGTCGCATCATTTATTTTATCTCTTCTTAAGATCATACATTTCTTTCACGAATTCAAAATGACTTTTCATTTGGCCTGATATATATCTCTTTGAATAATAACATTTACAATTATTGATGGGACATTTTTGCAAATTCTATTGATCAAGTTTAAAATTTGTAAAAATCTTTGACATAAATATGTTTTGAGTCTGAAACCTTTCACAGAATAAACATATGTACTCCAAATAATGCCGGAAGTCACCATATGTCGATTATTGGCGCTGCTAGTAATTTCAATAACATCTAAGAATCCAGAGAAAGAGTTGTAAGGAAAATCATTGTACATGAGGTACATAACGCTTACAGGACTTTCATTCTTCACGAGATTGAGAATGAGGGCTTTTGTGGTAAATAGAAAACATCGTCGCAGATAAGACGTAAGTTCCGGGTGCAGGGGCAACAAAGTTTCTATTTAAGTTTTTGTAGCTATTGCCAACGTTTGTTACTACTCTGCCAAAAACAGATGTTTGGCAAATACAAACGTGTTCATGTGGTTAGATAATCTGACAAATAACTACGTTTTGTTCGTTTTTAACTCGTCTAATCGTAGCACGGGTTTTTTGCATGTCTGAAATATACTAAAAAATAAAAAGATCATTAGGATATATTCAAACAACTGCAGATCAATGATTCCCCCTTCTATTATCAATATTGATATGTTTTGATAGTAGATACTTTAAATTACATTCAATATTATGAGGATTTTATGATTTCAAAGCACCTTTATACATGTAGCAAAATGTATACAGTTAATTCTGTAAATTTCATAATCTTTTATGTAGCGTTTACCTTACCTACAGGAGTGACAACCTGCTTTTCCGGTTTATTTTCCATGTCATCTGTTATGTTGACAACGATATCCGACTGGGTTTGTTTTATTTGAACATATTGTCTTCATTTTTTGTTGTTTACCACCTGTTTTCTCAAGATCATTCTCATACGATTGTTAAATCTGTCCAGAGAGCTTGTACATTGGCGTTGGACAGCAAGTTGTTTCTGCATGTTCATATTTAATCTTGTCTCTCTTAATGCTGTATGCGATTCAATTGACTAAATTTTGTTCGTTGTTGAACTTCATTTTTAGACGAAAGCTCTTCCTCACGATTCAAAAGCAGTCCTACAACTTCATCTGTAGACCGAATATGACTAAGCAAATTGATGAAAATATCTTTATAATTTCCAGTGATTATATGTTGTGCCGTTGGAGACTGACGATACAATTATCAATACAAGAATGACTAAAATTCTCGTATTCATTTTTATATACTCTCTGTCGGAATTAATTAACCTTTGCCTTTTCATTTGTAATAAATAGGTCATAAGGTAACACCAGCGACATTGAATTTGAAATAGTTTTCGAGATAAGACGCTGTTCTAATAATACTTAATTTCGCTACAAGAATATCAATGAAATATTCGGATCACAATGTATTAATCTGTTGCTTTTATTCGTTTGTTTTGAAAACATTCGTTACATTACTATTAGTTGTAATTCCATTTTTAGCTTTTTTCATCCCTTCTAATATCGCGCCATTTATTTCATCTTTGCTGTGTCGTATCATTTATTTAATAATAAACACTCTTATTTCGTGAATTCAAAATAACATTTCATTTGGACTGGTAAATATCTCTTTGAATAACATTAACAATTATTGATTGGAAATTCTTGCAGATTCTTTTTGTAAGTCTTTGACACAAATATGTTTTGACGTGCCTGTTCGAGTCTGAAACAATACACAGAATAAACATGTTTACTCCAAATATTGCTATTACTTGCGCGTCTTGTAATTCAACAACGAATTGTCAATAATATCAAAGAACTACGAACGGGGAATGTTACTGCCTTATAGATTTTTATTGAGACTGATTTCGATAGATGCATGATGAAAATTGCTACTGTCTAGAGTGATGCAAAGACAATGCGCAACATGTATCAATTAAATTTCCCTTTATAAAGCTGTGCACAAAACAAAAAACAGTTGGCGAAGTTTGTTTATAAATGCTTATTTCTCATTTAAGCGATCAATCTGGAACAACAGTAATGATTCTGGTCAAGGTGTTAATTCATGTGTATGACCTTTCTTTGCATATACAGTCTTGGAAGACTTAAACACTTATAAAATACATTACATTTAGTTCGGGTAACTCAATAATCTCGTACATTACAAAATGTTGTAATCAATAGTTAAAACTGCAATGCTTGTACTTAAGTTTATTATATAAACTGTATGATTCAACAATCATTTCATTTCCAAAGCTCACTTCCGCCCGAGAACAGCTTGGTCTGCAAATTTTTGCTGAAGTAGGAAACCGGAGAAAGAGTTGTAATGGACACCAAAGTAAGATACATCAGAATCGTTGTTTTGGATGAAGATGTCATCCCCTTTTTGAAGCTCTAGCACTATTGTCTGACTTGAAGTGTCATATCCCGCTTCTGATCCACTGACGTACATGTAACTTACAGGGCTTCCATTCTTAACGAATTGAGCGTGACCATTGTTGTGGTAACGAGAAATCAACGTGACAGAGAAAACGTATGTTCCGGATACAGGGGCGATAAAGTTTCCATTTAAGTTGTTGTAGCCATTGCCGACGTTGGTTACTACTCTGTCGAAAACAAATGTCTGGGCAACTCCTGCGTGGTTCAAATGGTTAGATAATGTGGCAAAGAAGGCCACGTTTTGTTCGTTTTCAACACGTCGAATTCTTGCACGGGTACTGTGAATGTCTTGAATTTGAAAGAAAAAATTAAATTAATGCATTTGCATATTCGAATATATCACAGTCATGAATTTACAACTAATGAATCCAGAAATTAAATTTAAACGCCTTTTAACATATCTATATAACAATTTATAAACAGGTATGCTATTTACATTTACATATATGGTCGGTATTCAGAAAATGATAAGAGTGTATATTTCAATTAACCCGACTTCAATAACATTTTTTCACAATTATCTTCCGTAATATTTCAATATCTTAACATTGTAGTGTTTAACCTACCTTTTGAGGTTGCTACAGGGCCTTGTGTTCTATTTTCATTTTCGTCTGCCACGTTGATACCACTATTTGGCTGAATTTGCTTTACTTTGACTCCGCTATCCTTATTTCCTCTCTGCTTGTTTACATATGAGCTAATGATTATTTTCATACGTTCACTGAATCTTTCCAGCGAGCTCGTACGCTGCCGTTGGACAGCCAGTTGTCTTTGCAGGTTTATATTTAGCTGCTGTTGACTGGACTCACATTGCTCTAAGTGCTCAATACGATTCAACTGGTTCAAAATCACTTGTTGTTGAGCCTCGTTGTCAGATGCCAATTGCTCCACACGACCCAAAAGTTGTTGGACTACATCTTCTGTTGACTCTAGATGACTCAGCAAATAATCGAGTTTATCTTCACCATGCTCAATAGGTTTTGAAGCATTAGATATAGACAAAATAACTGACAATATCCAAAAGATAAAGATGCTCATTTTTACGTCCATTCAGTTATAAATGTTTCGAAACCTACCTTATCAGTAGATTTAAACTTTATCTTAATTAAAATTTCAACTTTGAACACGAAAGTGTGACCTTTTATCATGAATATACTTTAGACCCTGTGTCGAATTAATTTGGTAAAATAGCTTTGAACAACTGCAATAATCTAATTAACTGCTTTACAACTAATTGTTTTATGACTTGCATTGACCACTTATTACACCAATATGTATAACCTTTATATTGTAAAAATATTTAAGATTATGGTAAATTTAGATATGAACATTATCTAAAACAAGAGGGCCATGATGGCCCTTATATCGCTCACCTGTATAAAAATACAAGGAGCAAATGATATTGTTAACAATGACTGAAAGCAGAAAAAATCTAAATCTTAAACTGATATCACAAAGTTCATATGTGTATCTGATATAGTACGTAAGTAAAAACTTTACTGGTTGCTCTTGCTAAAAGAAAACAACAGTTCCAAAAGATGGCACTGTTTGCTATACAAAATAAATGTGTGAAGTCAATGCCTGCTATGAAATTCAGTTGAAGATTCACTCATTGCTATGGAAAGTCAATGTCTGCTGGTTGCTATGAAAAGCTACAGTTTGCTATGAAAAATCAATGGCTTGTATGAAGTCACTGTTTTTTTAACTATATACACATGTACATATAAAGTAAATCTATGTCACCCACGGCGGGACAATATTGACCAGAGGGCTATAATGTGAATAATATTTGTAGAGGTCCACGAGACAATGTTACCAAATATCTACGCTAAAGCCTCTACAGTATAATAGAAGATTTTTTTGCTTTTCCTATAAACATAAAAGGAAAACAAATTACACCACGGGCGGCGCCAACTTTGACCTCAGGGATTTTATTTGAACAAACATGCTAGACAACCATTAGAAGATTTTTCATGTTTGATATCTAAGCTCCAGCTCCGGGCTTTCTTAGAAGATTTTATTTACTTTTCCTAAATATTTTTAATGAAAGCAATGACCCCTGGAGCGGAGCCAATTTTGACCCTAGGAATTCCATTTGAACAAACTTGGTAGAGGCCAACTAAAAGATGTTTCATGTTAAATTCGAAACTATTTGGACTTTTGAGAAGATAAATTTTGTTTGTTTTTACTATATACATAAAAGGAAAATCAATGAACCCTAAGGCGGGTCGAATTTCGGCCCAAAGGGATTTTTATTGAACAAACTAGGTAGAGACTTACAAGCATATGTTTCGTGCTAAATATCTGAGATTTGTTTTTCTTTTCGGTGTCATGGCAACTATAGTTCTGCATGGAATTGAATTCGATTCTTTGAACAATTTTAAGGGTGACCATCCAAGAAATATTCCCATAAAGTTTGGATGAAAATAGCTTAGTGGTTCATAGAATGTGTCGTTTAAAAGTTCATTGACGGAAACACGGCTGATGGACGAATGAACGCCAGACGAAAAGCAATCACAACTATATAACTAATAACCATATTACTTGCTACAGTTGAGCTAAAATAACGGTATATATTGTGAGTAAACTCAAGGGTAGAGTAACAGAAAGAAAATGTTATTATTTTTAATAACTATTTTGTCATGCAAACATATTCCACCAATGCCTTCAAATTTTCAGTAAGTGTCTAAATTTGAATCATTAAATTAATTAATGTTGACTAAACGTTAAGTATGAAATATGACACTTTTTTCTAATCAACTCATAGAGCCGATGTACTGTTTGTTTTATGTTTTACCAAAATATTGTATCAAATTTTGATGAGTTTGTAAAGTATTTCCAGTACGAAGAGCTAAAGTCTAGTTGAAGTAGATGTAGATAAGACATATGATGGCATTATGGCAACAGTGATACATCGGTCCATGACGGTCATGGTCAACAAACAGAACGATGTTGTGAGTCAGAAATTGTCATGACCATAACGCCACCTTTCTTTTAACATGTTATGAAGCCAGGCTACACGAGTTGTTAACAAGACTGTTATGATAAAGAGTTTGAGTGATATAAAAGTTATATGTTAAAACATAAATTTAACAAACTTGTCAACAAGTTCTCTTGCGTTAACGTTACCCCGTGATTTTTCTAAACTTGCATTTTCTAAACTTGTATTCTCTAAAAACACTGTCATATTACATAAAATTTGGAATTTTGATGAAAAGGAAAGAAAAATATCCTTTTATCCTGTATATTGAATATTTCCAGCTCTTTTATCATAATGACACTTAATAAAATGACATTTAACTTCATTCTTAAACTTTTAAGACAGATAAAATGAAAACTAAGCATCATCGTTCTTTTAATACTGGTTTAACATAATTCTTCATTAACATCAATACACTTCCACTTAAGTCTATTTAATGGATTATACATTTAAATGTTTCTAAATTTAACAAACTTGTCAACAAGTTCTCTTGCGTTAACGTTACCCTGTGATTTTTCTAAACTTGTATTTTCCAAACTTGTATTCTCTAAAAACACTGTCATATTACATAAAATTTGGAATTTTGATGAAAAGGAAAGAAAAATATCCTTTTATCCTGTATATTGAATATTTCCAGCTCTTTTATCATAATGACACTTAATAAAATGACATTTAACTTGATTCTTAAACTTTTAAGACAGAGAAAATGAAAACTAAGTATCATCGTTCTTTTAATACTAGTTTAACATAATTCTTCATTAACATCAATACACTTCCACTTAAGTCTATTTAATGGATTATACATTTAAATGTTTCTCAATATCTCATCTTGTGAATAAACAGTCTAATTTCAGTCATGTGTACCATATCGCAAGTAACGACCATATAAAATGTCTTGTGGATATCTTTGTTTAATTAAGAAGCCTTCAGCTGTATCTCCATTAATCTGCAAGAAATTTGTATTTGATCACAGCTTCATTTAAACGATGCCCTAAGTGCTTTTTGTTTATTAGACAATATCAATTCATCTATTTTTGTTTTCATAAAAACTACATTAAGACCAATATAAGTTACTGTTATATGTTACGAATAACAATAATACAATAAAATTGAAGATGTTTCCTGTAATTGTTTGAAATAACTATGACATTATTCATTATATATTCATTATTTCATCCAAATTATAAAAGAAATTACATGTATTATAAAATGCATTACAGCAATCGTAAAATAGTAATCTAATAAATAAATCTATCTAACATAACTGACTCACTGGTACTAAATGTCAGTATACAATTATTAATGATGTATATTAATTCTACAATTATCAAGTGCGTAATAATATCTAATGGATCGCCTTGCATTATTTGCTTCAAATCCTTCAATATTCTTATTCCTTACGTCATATAAACGATTTAGTTGTGGGGTTATTTTAGTATCCCTTCATATTACCAATGTTAATTTGATGGTGTTGTTTAAGTGTCCATTCTGAATTGCCACTACCGCAATAATTTGAAACAGTTAAACAAAATGATATTAGTTCTACTTAATCTCCAAGAAATCAATATTCATTTTGACTATTGTTATCACCAATCTTATACGTTTTAAAACGTTACAAGGCTAGTTTTTTTGTATGTGGAACATGAATTATTACAATACATTCACTACCGTGTCGAGTTACAAAATGTACTGCACACATTTTAAAATAGGTCGGGTTTCATAAGCTTTTATTAATATATGCCTTATTTTATAACCAAAGAAAAAGAAGAGAAATAAATTTTATGGAGAATTTTTAAATCGACTTATGTAAAGATTTTCTTATCTTTCGTTCTGTTACTAAGAAATGCTTGATGTTGAATGTGGGGCTTTTTTAAATTGATGCTGTTTTTCTGCAAAATATTTTAAAATTTTCTTCACGCAATCTGGCTTACTGACACTTATTTGTATTCCAGATGTAATATCTGGGCATATTCAGATGTGAATTGATGTAGAAACAATTGAATTACACAACCAACCAATATTCCTATCAATATAACGTATATATAAATTGGATAACGCTGTAATATCTACACATTATGATAATGACTAGTAAAAGCTAGATACCATAACATTTAACTGGTTTAACGGGTTTATATAGGACGTTTTATATTGGGCGTTTCCAGACTATTCTATTTGAAAGTAAGATTTATTATATGGGACATCCGCCGCCGAATGATTAAAAGTCGTATACTTCAAATCACTTGCCACTCATCGCTGTAGGTTCGAATCCCGCCAGGGACCTTGTATTGTTCATGTGAGGAAGCGATCTAGCTGGCTAATGGAATGCCGGTTGATCTACTCAGGTGACAGGCTGTGCCCGACATAATGCACGGAAGGGTCCCCGAGGTTTTCCTCCACCAGTAAAGCTAGAAAGTCGTCAGTCATACGACCAATACTGTGTTGGTGCGATGTAAGACCCAACCAAAAAAGACCAATTTACATTCATAACTAGTTTTTATTCTGTACAATTAAAGATATACTATGCTCAAATTTGATTTTTAAAAAACATTAATAATTACTACACAGTCTCTTTGTATGTATAAAATAAACATGTTTCGACTTCATTTGAAGTAGATATGTTATGTTCTGAACTCTACACGCTACAGGCGGTCACAATGTGAATATATAGTGTCATTAAAAAACTGTTTTTTAAGAAAAGACCTTTACTTGACCCGTTATAGGGAATGCAGCTTCCGATACATTGTTTATTCATTATTTTATTCAAATTAAACATAATTATTCAGTAAGAATTTCATGGATTTCAATACAAATTTCTAAGATAAAAATATTTTACCCAAAGATGAGCATAGAATATCTGTTAATCTATAACTTGTAGTTTTAGTTGCAGTTTCAATCATCTTTACAGTTTATTGTCCAACTGCAATTTGATGTGAAACATTTTGTTGGGAAAAGAATTCAGAGAAAGAGTGGTAATGAAAACCATGGTAGGCGGCATCGGCATCGTTGTTTGAAGATGTCATCTCCTTTCCTAAGCTCAAGCACTTAAATCACATACATCCTTTATAATACTACGGACACCCTGCTATCACAATCTTTATTTCTCTTCTGAAGAGA